CAGATCTGGGCTTCTCCGCTAGGTCCCTGCTGTTCTGGGGACCTCGGACAAGCAGCCGAGGACGGCTCTGGGCACTAGGATGGTTTTTAGACACTCGCCTCTTCCAGCCCAGTTATCCTGGGGAATTGTCATCCAGGTTGACTCAAGGGCTGACTGAAGACTCACCTCTCTCCACCTGCTCCCTAGAGTTGACTGTCCTCGGGGATCTGAGAGGGTCCTAGTGTCTCTGACCCTAGCTAGGTGCCTCCTGACTCAAGCCCTGGGATCTAGCTTAGCCTCGAGGGAAACCTGGGTTTCTCCCCAAGTCCTGTTACTCATTGTAGGTACTGAGCTTGACTTCTGGGCCAAGGATTTGAGTGTCCTTTAGGGGCTGTTCTGCCCACAGGGAAATACAAAGACCAAGATAGGATACCTAACCACTCTGCAGTGACTAAAGGTACTTTTACTGTTCTGATTAATTACTTTTTACCACACCCTGCTGCTTACCTTTCACTTTAAGTGATTAGCAAATCAGATTTTAAGTCTCAGCACAAGAGGGTGAAAAGAGGGGGTGTCACTGAGGCGTGAGCCTGGGCATGGGACAAGTGAGGAGGATGGTTTCTAAGGTGGTCGAGAACTGGAAGAGGACGGTCGGACTCACCTCTAACCCTCTTTCCCTCTCTTATCTCACAACCCCCGGTTTGAAGTTGAATTTAGGGTGAGCCTGTTGCAGTGGCTGCACGGAAATTGTAGTCAGGTGTTCACTTGACTGCGTCTGTGTCCGCATTTGCCAAGTGTTGATGGTAACGCACAAGGTTGTGGTGAAAGTCCAGTTGGTGTACGTGAAAATGAATAATGTACACGAGAGCATTTCTTACTCTGACACAGTGCTTTGGTTGCAGGTATTATTACTAGATATATACACCAAGGTAGATTTCATAAATTTTAAGGAGAAAGAAAAAATCTTTAATGGCAATGAAATTCCATTAGAGGCAGGGAACTCCCGGTCAATGGGGAACTCATCAGAGGCAAGGTGACGGCGATGTCCCTTTCGAGACTGAGAGAGTGCAGAGGGAGGAGGGTGTAAGAAGCACACAACGGGGCTTGGAGTCACACAGACTGAGGGTCACATCCAGCTCTGCCAGTTACTTGCTGTGGCTCCTGACAGGTCATCGAACCTCCCAGATTCTCTGGATACCTGCGTGAAGTGTAGATAATTCCTACCTCCCAGAGCTGGTGAGACAATTAGATGAGGAGCTATCTGGAAAGCCCCTGGAACAGAGTAGACACCCAGTGAATGAGGTCTTAGAAACCTATTAATTCAGGTCATGCAGAATCAAATATTTGGGTCATGTATCAAAAGCTGGGCACTGTGCTAGGTGCTGGGTGACGCCGCACACATTTCAGACAGACAATTCTAGTTCAAATCCCAGCTTGACCACTTACTGTCTGTAGAAACACTTTTAACTGCTCTGAACCCCAGTTTCCTGATATGTAAAGTGAGGAAGAAAAATTCCTGTAGTGAGGGATTATTGTAATAATTATAGACTCCATGTAAAGTACTTAGCATAGTACATACTACTGGCACGTCAAAAGTCTAAAAAGCGGCAGTAACTGTGATGAATACAGTCATGTTGAAACATTCAAAGGAGGGGATGCTGGTGGGTCGGATGTAAGGATGGAGACCCACGTGACTTTTCCTTACTGAGAACATTAAGTCCATTCTGAAACAGCCTCACTTGCATTAAATAAAATATAAGATGCCCTGGCTGGTGTGGCTCAGTTGGTTGGAGCGCTGTCCCCTACACCAAAAGGCTGTGGGTTCAGTTCCCTGTCAGAGCACATACCTAGGCTGTGGGTTCGATCCCTGGTCAGGGTGCATACGGGAGGCAACTCAATGTTTCTTCCTCACATCGATGTTCGTCTGTCCGTCTGTCTCTCTCTTTTTCTCTTCCTCTGTCTCTAAAAAAAAAAAAATTAATGGGAGAATATCCTTGGGTGAGGATGAAAAAGTTTTTTAAAAAAATAAATAAAATATGGGATGTTACTTTCCCTTATACATCCCTGCCCATTACTCCCTAAATACTTAAGGCCAGAGAGTTCTATGGAGTCTGAAGAGGGTGGTAAAATACTAGCATGGGCAAGACAGAAGGCTGTGAAATCTGTCTTTAGAGCTCTTTCAGAACTCTTTTGAAGATTTTAAGTGTTTTTGCCAAAAATATAGTTTCCCTTGCTCCCCCCGCCCCCGATTGCCTAGGTGTACACACTCCAATTTCCCTGGGGAAATCCCTCTTTATGGTCTCTTTGTCCACTGGTCCAGTTGCCTTGACTTAAAGGAAATGCAAACTTGACCTTTGTCCCCAGTGAGGATCCTGGCCCAGCCCTGAGCTGCAGCCAGTCCTTCTCCAACCTTCTTTCTTCCCGCTTCCTGGTCCTGCCCCTCGCTCAGGCCGCCACAGCAGTTCTGAGAGTCTGCTGGCTTTCGCTTCTACAAGGGGGCCTGGCTTCACCGTGGCCTGCCTGTCCACAGCCCCTCCCCGGCTGGCCTCTCTCCTTGGAAAGCCACTCATTATCCCATAGACGGGCCCGAACAGCTAAAACAAGTGTGGACTCACGGTTACATTGAGGATTTAAAATGGTGCCTCTCGCCCTGGCCAGTTTGGCTCAGCGGTTGAGAGTTGGCCTGCGGACCAGAGAGTCCCGGGTTCAGTTCCCACTAGGGGCACATACAAAAGATAAATAAATAAATAAATAAAATGGAGATTCTCCTTCGGAAACCTTCCTTTCTCCCCTGTGCAGGTGTCTTGCCCTCTCTGCATGTTTCCGGGAGCTTAACCCTCCTGCCTTGGGCCTCCCATGGCTGCCACACCCCCGCGGGCTTCCAGGGGCTGGGCATGGGTCTAGAGTGCCTATCCCCACTGCAGAAGGACAGTGACAAAAACCAAGCTTTCTTTTCACTTCTCTCACAATTGTTTATTGAGCACCTACTAAGTGCCAGGCATTGTTCTAGATACTGGGAGTTGGCAGAGAAGAAAACAGCCAAGTCCCTGTCCTCATGGAACTTACATTCAGGAGGGGGGAAGGAATAATAAGCACTCATTTAGTGCATTTTAGGTACAGACAAGTGCCGTTAAAAAACACCATGCACACATTCAGGGCCAGGTGCTACGCTGATCTGGGGACGAGGGAAGACTTCTCTGTGGAGGTGACACTTTAGCAGGCACCCGAGCAAAGGGAGGGAGTAACCCAGAGCAATAATGGTGGTAAGGATTCCGGACAGAGGGCCCAGTATTGCCCTGAGGTAGGGTGAACTGGGCATGTTTGAGGAACATCAAGGAAGCCCCATTTTTTTTCTGTCATACTGTAACGAGTACTTTTTAATTTTAATTGTGATAAAATATACATAACATAAACGTTACCATTTTAGCCATTTTATTTATTTAATTAATTTATTTAAAAAACAATTTTTTTCCCTTTATTGATTTTAGAGAGAGAGGAAGTGAGAGGGACAGAGAGAGAAATATCGATGAGAGAATATCGACTGGCTGCCTCCTGCATGCCCCCCACTGGGGATTTGGCCCACATCCTGGGCATGTGTCCTGACTGGGAATTGAACTAGTGACCTCTTGGGTCAATGCTCAATCACTGAGCCACACCAGCCGGACCATTTTAGCCATTTGAAAGTGTACAGTTCACTTGCATTGAATATATGTGCAACCATCACCTCCAGCACTTTTTTCATCTTCCCAAACTTAAACTATGTACCCATTAAACACCAACTCCCCATTCCTCTCTCTTGCCCAGCCTCTGGAAACTACCATTCTGCTTTCGTTGTGATGAGCACTTTATTTAAAAAAATTTTTTTCCTTTCTTTATTGATTTTAGAGAGAGAGAGAGAGGAAAGGAGAGGGCTAGGGAGAGAGACGTTGATGAGAGAGAACATTGATTGACCACCTCATGCATGACCCCCACTGGGGATCTGGCCCACAACCTGGGCATGTGCCCTGACTAGGAACTGAACGGTGATGAGCACTTTAAATGCATCATGTCATTTAATCCTTGAAACAACTGTAGGCCATAGGTTTTACTGCCATGCCCATTCTACAGATGGGGAAACTCAGACTGAGTGAGCGTCTGAAATCAGGCAGCTAACATGTGGAGGAGGCAGACCTTAAATGGTTTTCTTGGCTCAGGCTCCTACTCTCAACCCCCTACCTGGTGGAGGTGAAGGATGCCCCTCTGTTGCCCCTCTGACAGCTCAGAGGTGGCCCAAGAGGGTTTATCAAGGGTTATACGCATGTGAGCTTTTCTTGCTAGAGCAAGAGTGGTTTGTTGCACCTCACGGGTTCCATCTGTCCTGGTCCCATCTGTCCGGAAGGAAGGGGCTGCTGCCCAGAGACATGGGTTGGGGGTGGAGCTAGCAGCTTCTTGGTTTGAGTGTTGTGGGCTCTGGTGCCAGGCACCAGCCTGTCCCCTCTTCCCCCTGGGTCAGGGGCTCCGGACTGCATTGCACGCACCGTGCTATGGAACTCGGAGGACGCTTACAAGTAGTCGTCTCATTTTACAGACCTGCACAGGGAAGTGAAAAAGTCGCCCACAGCCAGTGAGTGGAGCCGAGCCAGGATTTAAACCAGACAGCATGTAGCAGAGCCGACGTGTGCGAAGACCAGTCACACTGTGGTGGTTGCTGGTGCTCCCCAGCCCCCACGGGAAGGCCAGCCAGGGTGGGGCTGGGGGAGGCAGGGACCCTCCCGGTTTCCTTCCACTCGGTCTGTCCAGGCCTGGCCTCCGCGGGGGCGCGAGGACCGCTTGCTGGGTCTCACGGTGGCTGCCCCCGCTGCCCCACCCCCGGCCCGCCGGGGGGCCTGGCGGCGACAGCGGCGCCTGGCAGCGGGAGAGGATTTGGATGCAGCCCCGGTCTCCCCCTCCCACTGCACCGCCGGGGGCTTGGCCGTGCCGGGGGACTTATCTTGATTCCTTGGGACAGCCCAGCTCCTTCCCGGCATGCCCTGCTCCCAGGAGCCGCCTGCGAGTCCCGCGCCCGGACTTTGCCATCGGCGGGGGGCCGGCCGCGGGAGCGCCCCGGAATGTGTCCTGCAGCCTCTGCCTGAGGTGGGTGAGCCCCGCCGCCCCGGAGCTGCGGGAAAGGGGCCCCGGGCGAGCCGCCCAGCCCAGCCCTTTGGGAGAGAGGTCGCCCGGGCTGGCGGGCAGGGTGTGGGGGATCCGGGCGTCGCCTTGGGGGAGGGGAGCCCCAGCCTGGCTGCCGCTTTGTTGCAGCCACGGTGCTCGCGCGGGCACAGTGCCGGAGCCTGCAACTTGGAGAAAGTTGGAGCTGCGTGTCCGGTAGCCCCGCGCTGCACGCGCCGAGGCACTGGGCGTCCATCCCAGCCTCCTGGGTGCTCAGGGTGGGTGTTCTGGGTGGCCGGTCAGAGGGAGGTGGTAGGGGCTTGGGTCTGTTGTATCCTTGTGGATTTAGAACTAAACAGAGGGGAAGGGGACGAGAGAGAGAGAGAGAGAGAGAGAGAGAGACTGGTAGCTACCCAGACTATACAAAGAAAGAGAAGAACTCATCCTAAACACACAGAGGGTAATACACAAAAAGGAAACACACACAAAGAAACACTCCTGCAAACAGATCATCAAGAAAGACGGCAAACCTCAGGAAGCTCCTACACTCTCAGAAACACACTCAAAGCACTAGAGACAAACATAGCTGGTGGTCTTGGAAGCAATGGGGCAGGGGCAGGGGACAGGAAATTCTGAGGTGGGGGAAGGGAAAGGAAATTCTGAGACGGAGAGAGACTGAGGGAGGGGGAAATGTCTCTGGAGTGGAGAGAAAAAAACTAGGGGAAGATGGAGAGACAGAGGGAAATAAGAGGAGGAAAGAATAAGGACCAAGGGAGGTAGTGCTTTAGCAAGGACAGTATAAACACACATCTAGAGAAACTGAGGCAGACCCTGAGAATTAGCCCCATCCCCCCAACATACAGAGATGGAAGAGACCTCACCCTTGTGGGCAAGGGAATTCCAGCTATCTGAGAAAGGCCTCCTTGGCACTATTGAGCCAGCCAAGTCTCCACCTGTCCATCTGGCAAACTCCTACTCATCCTTCAAAACCCAGCTCAAGCATTACCTGCCCTCTGAAGAATGCTTTCCCAGAAAATGTCATGCAAGAACAGTTACTTTCTTTTCTGTGTATTTCTGCATATGGCACAGGCACATGGAGTTGAAATGGTTTGTCTGCCTACCTCTTCCACTGGCTCCACAAGGCTTGAAATCCATGTCTTATTTATTTCCAATCTCCAGGATCCAGCCCAGTACTTGGTGCATAATAGATGGTCAATAAATACTGAAAGACAACCAGGAGCATTTGAACCCTCTAAGACATGGAACATAAATCCAAATAGAGGACTCATAGAGACTCCTAGGTCAAAGCCCCTTCTTTTGCACATGGAGAAGTTAAAACCCTGTGAGGGGAGGAGACTTGATTAAAGGGACACAAGCAGCGGGAAGCCTGCAATGAAAGAAATTGTGAATTTGTACCTCTCTGCGATGCCCTTGTTCTTCCAGCCTACGAGTTTAAAATAGGGGTGAAGGAACCTCCTGAATGAAAACCATTAATAGACAACAAGCAGCTTAATAAGTTTCCAACACTGGAACTGACAAAACTTTTTCTAGGATATTTAGAATTCTTTTTGCTTTGTAGAAAAGAAAAGATTGGTGAATGTTCACCTCAGCTTAAGTGGCTGGCTTTCTGCATACACTTGGACACATTTCTTAACCTCCTTGAGCCTCAGTTTTTTCAACTATAAGATGGGGATACTGACACTTGCCTCATAGGATCGTTAGAAGAGTTAACACAGTGGAGGAGACCCTCAGTAAATAATCACACCCCTCTTCTTCTGAGATGGGTATTCTTCCACGCACTTGTAATGTGAAGACAACAGAGCTCATGAAAATGGTTCCTTTTGTCCCAGAACAAAAGTCCATCCTGGTCCAACTGGGGAACAAACTCTTTTAATTAAAAAAAAAAAAGGCAAATTTGGGGCATGACATAAAATGCAACTTGATTCTGTTGAGGCCTTCAGGTCTCTACAGGTGACTTGGGACAACCTACCTTCCCCCACCGGATCCCTTCCTCCTTCAGCAGGTAAGACCCCGCTGCCCCTCTCTCTGTTGTAGCCTCCTTACCAGGCCTGCTCTGCTCTGTGTCTTTCAAGCTTCAGCCCACGCGGGGCCCGTGACCGGGTCTGAGGGAGCCGCGGGAAGCATGGAGACCGTGGTGATTGTTGCCATAGGCGTGCTGGCCACCATCTTTCTGGCCTCCTTTGCAGCCCTGGTGGTGGTCTGCAGGCAGCGCTATTGCCGGCCTCGCGACCTGCTGCAGCGCTATGATTCCAAGTGAGTGCGCGGGGGGCAGGGGCTGGAGGAGTGGGGGCAGGGGATAGAGGAGGGGGCCAGGGGATAGAGGAGGGGGGCAAGGGTTGGAGGAGGTGGGCAGGGGATGGAGAAGAGGGGGGGCAGGGGATGGAGGAACAGGGGACAGGGGATGGAGGAGGGGGACAGGGGATGGAAGAGCAGGGGACAGGGGATGGAGGAGGGGGGCAGGGGATGGAGAGGGGGGGCTGTGCCCTGGGGTGCCTATAAAAGAAAAAGAACTTTGGTGCTGAGCAACTGGCTCAGCTTTTTGTCTCTGAAATGCTACCTGAAGGCTCTCCTTCCCAGTAGAGACCCCAGAGCTCAGGAATGTTCCTTAAGGCCCCCAACATCCTGAGTTAACTCTGAGTCAGTCACTGAACTAATGAGAAAGTGACTCTAGTTCACCTGGCATAAAAGTGTGGCCATCTATCAAAAACAGCCACTTCCCTTAGCATTTGGACAAACCAAATCCGTTTCCAACCAAACTCATAGGAACAGAGATCCGGTGTCTGCACTGGGACCACCCATCTAAGCAGCAGATACTTGGTGCTGCGAAATCCCAGCACCGGATGGTCTGTCTCTCTGCTCACATTTCTTTCTCTTTTTTTATCCTTATGCGAGGACATTTTTGCACTTATCTTCAGATAGAGCAGGAGGGAGAGAGGGGGCAAGAGAGAGAGATACATCAATGTGAGAGACATCGATGTGAGAGAGACACATCGACTGGTTGCCACCCACATGGCTCTGGTTGGGGCCGGGGACAAACCGCAACCGAGGTACGTGCCCTTAGCGGGAACTGAACCCGGTCTCTCTGGTCTGCGAACCAGCGCTCTAACCGCTGAGCCAAACCGGCCAGGGCTCTGCTCACAATTCTTCATGACACACTTCACGTAAAATATTTTTGTAAGAAGATCTTATTTTCAATTTAGAGTGGTTTTAATTGATAGATCCTTTAAAAAAATTGTTTTAAATTGATTTTTAGAGAGGAAGGGAGGGGGAAGAGAGAGAGAAAGAGAAAGAAAAACCTCAGTTTGAGAGTGAAACACCCATCGGCTGCCTCCTGCACGCCCCCTACCTGGGATCAAGCCCGGAACCCAGGCACGTGCCCTGACCAGGAATCAGACTGGCAGTCTATTGGTGGACATGATGATGCTCAACCACCTGAGCCACACTGGCCAGGGCTGACTGATAGATCCTTAAAGGGGTCACAGCCACTGACCCCTGGTTTCTCTCACCCCTCTATCTGAAGCTTATGAGCATCTCTGTGGAGTGGTTGATGATTAGTAAATGCCCATTTTTATGACCCAGGAAAGCTCTGCTGTTGAAAAGAATGCTCTGGCCCTGGCTGGTTTGGCTCAGCGGTCAGAGCATTGGCCCGCGGACCAGAGAGTCACGGGCTTGACTTTGTTCAAGGGCACGTACCTTGGTTGCGGTTCAGTCCCCAGCCTTGGTTGGGTCATGCGGGAGGCAACCAATCGATGTCTCTCTCTGACATCACTGTCTCTCTTTCTCTTTTTCCCTCCTGCTCTATCTGAAGATAATTGGAAAAAAAATATCCTTGGGTGAGGATTGAAAAAAAGAAAAGAAAAGAATGCTCTGGTGCCTCGTGTTTCAAAGACTCCCACTGTAAGGAGCAGGTGTTCCTTCTCCAGTGTAACTAGGAAGGAGCGAGGTTAGGCCGTGGACCAGGGTGGACTGGGGTGGTTCCCCAGAGTGAGTCTGCAGACCAAATGGGGGTGCAGGTAGGTTGGGTATTAGGAACTTTAGCTTCTCAGGAAAATGTAGCTTGGAGGGAAAACAAGTTACAAAGGGGCATTCTTTTGCCCTAAAAGAGCAGCCCTGTTGGACACATCTTGGTCAGCGCTGTGGCCGTAGCCCTGCCCTCGTTCTCAGTTCTCTGTCACTTTCTCTTATTGTTTCCCTGTTCTGCTTGCCGCCTTGATTTGCTGTCTAGCCATGTGCCCTGCCCGTAACTGCAGTCCCATTGGGTTCGGTTTGGGTCCAGGACAAGCGGCCCCTGCTTTAACTTTCTCATTCCCGTCATCCTCTTGGGGGCCCGGGGGGGCCTCCGCGAGGAGGGGTCAGCAGCCGTTTTCCGTCCTGAAACCGCTTCCGTGGGTCCTTCCTTCCAGGCCCATTGTGGACCTCATCGGCGCCATGGAGACCCAGTCTGAGCCCTCGGAGTTAGAGCTGGACGATGTCGTCATCACCAACCCCCACATCGAGGCCATTCTGGAGAACGGAGACTGGATTGAAGATGCCTCGTAAGGCCCTGGGGATGGTTTGCTTTCCTGGAGTCCCCCGGGGATGGCAAAGGGGACTCCTTTGTGCCTTCTGGCTTCCTTGCCTACAGCCTTGACGGGGCATCCAGGAGCACTGGGTCCATTTCTGCTCTTTTCTCCGCTCTCGCGCGGAGGGAAATCAGAATATGATTTCGCAGTGTTTGCCCTGGAGCCTCCCTCCACCCATTTTGTAGACCTGAACACTGAGGTCTGTAGATGCAAAAAGTTGTTATAAAGTTGCCCTCAGGTGCTTGGTTTTTGGGGTGCCTGTGAATCTGACAGTCAGGCTCCGGGGATGGAGCCTTTGTCTTATGTCCTCAGGGCTCTCTCCATCCGACAGGAGCCCCTTTAATCCCCCATCACTTAGTCACCCGTTCACCGAGGAGATGTCTGTGAGGCTGTGTGTGCAGGGCCCTGGGCCAGGCACTGCACTGCTGGTGGAGACAGATTCTACTAAGTATCTCAGAAATGATGGGGGGTCTGTGTGCACAGCGCATGGGCACATGGAGGAAGCGAAGTCTAGAGCTGCCCGGGCGGTAGGGGTAGATTTCATGAAGGGTGTCACAGAGTGGGTGCCTTGCGACTTGGGTCTTGAAAGATGGGAGCTCACCAGACTGAGCATAAAAGGAAGGGCATGCTGGGCGGAAGGAGCAGCCTCGGAAGCTCAGAGCGCGACTCAGCTGGTGGGGTGGGGGTGGGGAGGAGAAGGTGAAGGACAGATGGTGCTTCCCATGTAGCTCCTGGACCTGTTCCTTTTAGCCCAGCATCGCGGTCTCAGGCGGTGTCCAGGTGTGTCAGCTCAGTGAGCAGCGGAGGTGGCGGAGGGAGGTGGGCCTCTCAGGACAAGCACTGACGCATTCTTCTTGCCTCCCCAGGGGTCTCATGTCCCACTGCATTGCCATCTTGAAGGTAATACTCCTTGATTGCCCCAGGAGAAAAAGTGGGTGGTCGCCAGAGCTCCCCTGTGCACGGCTTGTTACAGCTGAACCTTAGGAAGGGCACGGGGCTCTTGCAAGAGGCCTTTTTTAACCTGTCCGGAACTTGGAGTGTCTCCAGTTTATCTCCACTCTTCCATGGACGGTCTGTCATTCTTCAGAATTCCCGAGTCCTCGCAAAGGCTTTATCTCACCTGGTCCTTGTGGTACAGTGCCCTGTGGGAAGGACCACCTGGGTAGTCGCCAGTCACGTTCTCACCGATGGTGGAGACACCTGTGTGCCCGAGACTGTGTAGCTGCTGAGGGCAGTCGGGGCTTCTCATCTTCTCCCTGAGGACTTTCTTTCACTAACGGAGCTCGGCCCTCGATGGCGAGTTGGGTTCTATATCTGGACTTCTCCAGTGACTGGAAAGTCTGTCGCTGGGCCTCTCTGGTGTGACCGTGGTCAGCCAAATGGGACAGTCAGTGTTAAAAAAGCTAGACCGTGAGTTCTTCAAATTGAAGACAGATTTTTTTTTTTCTTTTAGTGTCTGCAGCCCTCAGGACTGGGTGGAACATTGCACCCAGTTGGGTAGTTTTTATGGTTTTGGCATTTATTTTCCAATTCTTGCTGGATACTCAGAGGATAATAGCGATATTGAAATATTTGGCCAGTTGCAGATAGTGTCGGTTTCTTCGTGTCTCACCTGGGTAACCACACACTTACCTCTCTCTCTAGTTATTACTCAACATTTCACAAAAAGACAGTTTCATCTTTTCTTCCGTGTCTTTCAGGATAAGACATAAAAAGCCATTCCTTCTACCTCTTCTTCAGCCGTCCCTCTTGGGGACAAGGAGATGCCCAGTGGGGAATTGTTGTCACAGAGTCCGGGCTTTTCATTGAAGTCCAAGAAGTGTTTTGGGTACAGATGTGGTTGTAGGTAGAGATAAGTAAGTCTAGAGCGATAATGGCATATTCCATCTCCCCCCAGGCAGGATGTGTGCGGGTACCGGGCTCTGTCCCTTCTCCTGCCTGTTAGAGGAGGGGAGCAGTCGCATCTGAGATAGGTGATGAGTCAGTCAGAAGGAGTCCCATTGGGTTGGAATCAGTGGTCCATCTTGGGACCTCGGATCAAAGGAGAGGCTCTTACCTTCCTGTTGAAATCTCAAGGTCTTTTTGTTTCGGCCCTTGAGTCCCTGTGGTGGGGCCTTGGGCTTCTTCGTGCCCCCTCTTCTGTAGCCCCAAGTATAAGGCAGGTAATGGAACTTCTTTGCCAGGGACAGGCACCTCTAGGCTCTAACATCGGGGAGGTGGGGAAGGGGGGAACGCCACTTTGGGGGTGCCCAGCAGTGTGGGGGGATGATGAAAAGGCATGTGTCATAGGTCTTTTCCCTGCGTCTTTCCAAGGCCCTTGCATCATCATCTAGACACACATGCTTATATATCACCCCAGATAATTGCGGAAACCAGTGGCACTTTGGGAGGATGTGCTAAAAGGGAACAGTTGTCCTTTGTCCAGCCAGGTTGCTGAGGGCGCCCCGCTGCAGAAGGAAGACTAACCCCGGGGGTGAAGGAATAGGATGAGAAAGTAGGTTTTACCCCTTAAGTCGAGGGTGAAATTAGAGCACATGATTTTGCTTAGACAGATTGTTTCAGCCTAGACTTCTCTAAGCCGAAGCCCTGGCCCGATATGAGGTTCCTGCCCCCCCCCCGCCATATTCTCAGTGTTTGTGTCTTTCGCCCCATTTCCTCTCATTTCTGTGTACTTTTCACGTCAACGTGTCCATCTGGTTAGGGGGCCCAGCTGTGGGAGGGGACCCAGGTGAGGGTCACCCATGTCTTTGTGGGGGTGGCAGAAGCTGTTCGGGGGCTAGGTCACCCCTCGTCACCTCGGTCCTCCTTGCTGCCTCAGATCTGTCACACTCTGACAGAAAAACTGGTTGCCATGACAATGGGCTCAGGGGCCAAGATGAAGACTTCAGCCAGTGTCAGCGACATCATCGTGGTGGCCAAGCGGATCAGCCCCAGGTGAGCGGTCAGGGCCCCCAGGCCCCCACACTCCCCGGGGAGGGAGGGCCAGGCCCTTCAGGAAGCTGCACGGGCCATCCAGTTACGTATGTCCCCAGCCCGGCCAGAGCGTCCAGCGGGTTAGGCGGGGAGAGGCTTTCAAGCTAAGATGTTCTCACACCCTCTCCCCCACCTCCAGTGGGCTCTTTGGGACACCCCAGCTCATGACGAGCGCTGACTCTTCCCTTCCACGGATCCCCCTGCGGCCGCTCCCTCTTTCTCTGTCCCAGGCCGGCTGGGGCTGCTCTCCTCCCCTCTGCCACTCCTTTCTCCCGGGCTTCCCCCGGGGCCCACACCTCTGCGGTGCCCTCCGCCCCTGTCTGTATTGGGGTGGCTGCCCCAGCCGTGGCCCAGCCAGCAGCCTGCAGGACTTGGGTGGGAGGTGAAGCCAGACATCACTCAGCTCTCCCAAATTCCAGGCATCTGCAAAATCCCGTGTGGGAGGCAACCAGCAGACTGCAGTCAACAGCTACACCCCCTCCTGTGGGCTCAGTTTGGTGAAGAGAAAGAAAGGCCTTTTCTCCGAGAGGACTGGGCTGGGTTTGCGCTGCCCTCTGGTGGTTGGCATGTGGATGCGGCGGAGTGCTGAACTTGTCCAGGATGTTTTCTTAGCCACAGGGCCTCACCCCTGGGAGGTGCCTCCATATGCCCGGGGGAATGGTGGCACCCCCTGAGTTCCAAGGGCCCTTGCTTTCCTGGTTGCTGTGGCCTCAGGCAAAAGAGGGAGGACCAGCCCTCGGAGGGAATATGGAAGAGTTGGTGCGCTTGAACTCCAGCCAGGGGGTTCAGCGAGTTGAGAAGGTGGGAGGGACTCAGCCCTGAACGTCCTTGGCTTTCTGCGGAGCTCTCCTGAGCGGGTGCGGTTGCGTGACTTCCATCAGCCCGGGTCGGCCCTGGCCTGAAGGGACCCTCCTCCAACCCAGGCTCTGGGCAAGCACCTGACCGTCCTCTGGCCACTTGTTATTGGTAGGGACTCTGCGTTGCTCAGACCCGCTGCACCTTTATTATGCTCCGGTCACTCCTAAGAGCCACCGTCAGGGGTGGGGCTGATAGTCACGTGATATCAGGTTATAAGGCAGATAGTCAGGAGGGGTTGGAGGAGGGGAGAGATGGAGATTTTGAGGGGCGAGTGAAGGGCTGGGTGATCAGGAGTAACAGTGATGCCAGGGTGGGGTGGGGCACTGCTCGGAGGGTGGACTTGACTTGGTGCCCGCTGGCCCAACCTGCAGAGCCCCTGGGACTCCTTCCAGAATGTCCCTACCATAATTCAGTCTGTGTCCTTGCTGTGCCTTACTGTCCCCACACTTCCCTCTCCTGGCTGGTTCAGTCCCATTGTTTTGTCTTGCTCCATTTATTCCACATGGTGTGCTGGTAGCATATTAGTTGCAAGGAGAGTGGCTTCAGCTCTAGGGCACTGTGGAGACGGGACAGCTAAGCAGAGGCTGAGTGTGACCAGCCCCTCAGCCCCGAGACAGGAACATTTAAGGACATCTATTTTCAAGTGCATTTAGAAATCAAATCATGCATTGTTATTGTTTTTGTACCAAGAGCTTGTACCATGCAAATCAGAATGAAGGGTTTGTGTTTTTTCTGAACTAGATTAGAAAAAAAAGATTAACCATAAACTATACCATGTGTTAAAAGAAATACAATGGAGCAGTTTGCACCTAAATTAAACTTGTAGGGTTTTTTTTTTTTTAGTGTTGTATATAACTTTTAACCATGTTTTGTTTCTTTTTAAATTTTTTTCTGTATTGATATTAGAGAGATAGGAAGGGAGAGGGAGAGAGAGATAGAAACATCGATGAGAGAGAACATTGATTGGCTGCCTCCTACATGCCCCCCACTGGGAATGGGCCCACAACCTGGGCATGTGCCCTGACTGGGAATCGAACCGGCGACCCTGAATGCCCAAAGAGAAGAACTGGGCTAAAGAAAGGTAGAAAGGAAGGAGGGAGTAAAGGAGATACGGAGCGTGAAATACTGAAAACCCTTTGCCTCCCCTCAGAGTGGACGACGTTGTGAAATCCATGTACCCGCCGCTGGACCCGAAACTTCTGGATGCGCGGTGAGATGGCCGTTCTTCCCTCCGTGCTGGAGGCTTGCCGGGGGGTCTGACCTGTGAGGTCGGCTGCTCGGGTTGTTGAGGAGAAGGCTGTTTTGCTGGATTCCTGGGCTGCCCTGGGTCTTGGGTACCATTCAGAGCAGTGTGAATGGTCAGCACACCAGTGGGCCACGCCTGGCTAGCGGGTAGAGGCCAGTCCTCTTCCTGAAACTGGAGGAAGAGCCAGTGTAGATTGTGGATCTTTACAGTTATGTATCCGACCCCACTAAGTCTTCTCAGTGCCTTCCTTCCCTCCATCTCCCCATCACGTCTGCTCTGGTTGGTGAACCCCCGAAGCAGACACACCTCAGCTGTGTGTGCCGTGCAGGGTCAGCGGGGCACGTGGTGAGCAGGGCAATGAGAGTGGGGGTGAACCTCCGCTAAAGCTGTGCTCACCTTCCACAGGACACGCCCAGGAACCCCTCTCGTGGGACCTCCCCGGATACACAGGTCCCACTTAGCCTTTTGAAGTTGTTGTCTTCTTGTACCAGATGCAAACCCATTTTAAAAACCAGATTCCTTGTCTCTCGGATTCATGTGATGATTTCATGGGCCCATTATATGATGGCTGCCAGCTGGGCAGCAGGTCCGGGTGCGGCTGGCTTCTCTGCCCCGTCCTGTTGCTGCACAGCTGTGTCTGGGCTGGCAGCTGTGATGCATTCCCAAGTGCACTCTGCACACTCCCTGTATAAAAGATATTCTATAGTGAATCTTTCAACACTGATTTTAAAAAAACCCTGCTAATTGGGTTTTCTATAAATATTTTTCTTTGAGAGTAGGGTAAACCAGCTTGGGGCCTTATTGATTCAGAATTGATAAGGGATGCTAGAAGTGGGGGTATGTATATCCTTCCTTTAAGTGGGTAGCAGTTGGGGATGTGCTCATCCAATTGACAAGATCCAGACTGTTCCATAAAACCCTCTTCTGAAAGTTGTTAATAGGTGTGCAGCAGAAAGTGGGTGCCATGGTCTTTTTTTCCTCCAATTTTTATTAATTTATTTTTGTTACAGATGTTTTTCCTACCCCTCTTCCCCCATTGCCATGGTCTTAAATAAACTAATGAGACACAGCATATTATATGCTCCCTGTAGAGCTTTATCTTGCACATTGAAGGCTCTGAGAAGGGCTTTCATTAACCTTGTTTAAATTAGCCATTCCCAGATTTGTTCGAGCATGGCACCATCTTTAAATTGCACGCTCACCAACCTCTGAGGGAAGGGACTTCAGTTTGGGGAACAGACGTCAGATTTTAGATCATTTGGGCTTTAGCACAAAGTCCCCTTCTTTCCTAGGGGAACTGATCCTGTTTGTTTGTTGGTTTGTTTTGTCCTAGGACAACTGCCCTGCTCCTGTCTGTCAGTCATCTGGTGCTGGTGACCAGGAATGCCTGCCACCTGACTGGGGGCCTGGATTGGGTTGACCAGTCGCTGTCAGCTGCTGAGGAGCACTTGGAAGTCCTTCGAGAAGCAGCCCTGGCTTCTGAGCCTGAGAAAGGCCTGCCAGGCCCTGAAGGCTTCCTGCAGGAGCAGTCGGCTATTTAGTGCCTGCAGGCCAGCAGCTGAGCACAAGGGCCAGCCTGCTGCTGTCTGGCAGCCCAGCGGAGCCTTCCACTTTGTCTGTAGTTAGTTGTTGCGCACAGCTCGGGAGTCCAGCTGTGTGCACAGCAAAGCAGGAGAGCCCCTGTGAGTTGATGCTTCTGTTGCAGTTGCAAATGGTGGCTGGTGAGTAGCAGTCTAATAACACAGCTGGGGAGACACCCCTCACCGTCTGCGTGGCAGACCTCTGAAAACTGGCGGACTGGAACCTTTATTTGGCTCACATGGTGCTTTCAGGAAAATCGAGCCACTGTCTAAGAATCAGGAGGTTTCACATCACAATCAGCATTTCCGGCTTCTCTTGAACAATCAGAAGGTGAGGCAACTGTGATCTGTATTTTCAAAAGAGGACAATCAATTGGAACTAAGTAGGAGCTGCCTCTTTCGACATGATGTGTACCCTCTCACCTGGCCTGTGTCATTGATTTGTGTTATCTGCCTGGTCCCCGAAGCATCTGAGTACCTCCTCCCCTTCACAGGTGTAGGTTTGAAGGGGAGCTGATGATTCCCTCCGAGTTGATTATTCCCTTTTTTTTTTTATCATTATGCCTGCAATTTTTCCTAGCTACCACTAGGTGGATAGTAAATGTATACTTAGGTTTCTCTCAAGTGTGTGGTTATTGAGTCAGCTTCAAATGTGTGTGGGACATACTTGTCTGAGAACAGAGGGTGGGAGGAGAGAGCCTAGAAGTCCTCAGATATCTTGTGTGTACGACTCAGTGAAATAGTTAAAGACCTCTGTGTTCAGGTAGAGGTGAAGGTAGCACCATAAAGTAGTTTCCACATTAGCAGTGATGTCCATGGAGGATGCGTGTGCATTCTTTGGACATCGCTTTGTTTTGTACATACTGAATGATGAGGGTCATTTTTATGACTGGAGAGCCATTTGTGAGACCCAGAATCACAGCTGCATAATCCAGACACACCTCCAGATCGCATAATTTCCATCTGACGCGTAGGAACGTAAGTACTTTACTTCCTCCCAGGTTCTGGGAGAGGCCCTGGCTCAGGGGATGCCTTGGTTCGTGTCTGGTGCTGTTGAACATGTTTGGAGCTCTATGTCAATTCTCAGTACATTTCTCTGCCCTAACTCAAGTCAGCCAACCCCTCAGCCTGGTTCTGGAGAACCAGGAACACATATTCCCAAGTCCAAGATTTGGGCCTTGCTTGTCATTGAGATGTGTCACTGGGTACCTTTCATCCTCTCCTGGAAGACAGGATGCTCTGCCCAGCAGACTGCACCAGCGCCCACCTCGGGAGATGGTCCGGAAGGGGCTGGGGCTCAGCTCATGGGCTGAAGGATGGATTCTTGATCACAGGGGACACCTTATTGGATTGTCCACTCCCATCAGCTCTGGCTACATGCTAGGTGGTTACTGTTCCTGTCCTGCTGGTGAGCTACGAGTGGCAAATGTCCAGAAAGCCACTTGGACTTTTCCATGGATCGACATCCATAGGCCTCCTGTTTTTGTCTTTCTTTCCTCCCTTTCAAAACCTGGTTTCGTCACCAGACTGGAAGCTCATTCATACTAGGGTTGCAATGGCTGCCACAGTTGTAAACGCCCCCTGCACTTAACCTGGACCAGAGCCCTAAGCCAAAGAGAAGCGACCCTGCATGGGCCTCTCACATACCATCCCCCAGGTCCACGCCTGGTTGGAGGCGGAGAAGTTGCCCCTGAAGTGGCCCCTACTGCCACCTTCTCTGAGCCCTAGTGAGTCCTGGCACACCCGCTTCCTGAAGCCCTGAGCGAGGAGAGGTTGCCGAAGACCGCGGAAGTGTCTGCTAGATGGCAGGACCTCTGCCTCCGCTGCTCTACTTTATTTGTTTGTTCTCCAGTGTCGGGCATATTAGAGGTCTCTGGATAAGGGCGTTGGTGGCTGATGGCTGAGGTGGAAGTGCCATCTTTGCCCTTTGGGAGTTGGCTGACGTTACCTCCTCCCATGGGAGGGGCTGCTTGGCGAGCACCTGGGGATCTAGCCGGGAGATTTTGAGGACAGACACATCCCAAGTCAATAGTTCACTAGTGTCTATGTGCATGGTGGTGGATCTCCATGACACCACCCCCTCCTCCCCTGGAGGAGGGACATCAGACTCCTACTAAATGAAGGAATGAGGGATAGGAATGGAGTGTGAGAAGGGTAAGTCTTTGAAGTCTGACTTAGATTCAGATTTGGGCTCATTTACTGTGTGAGTTTGAACAAGCTCCTTAACCTCTCTGGACCCCAGCGCTCTCACCTGGAAAGTCAAGGCTACCGCCTCATTGGGTTGGCATGTGCATCAGATGAAATGGTATGTGAAATGCCCATTGTGTGCCTGGTACTGATTAACCAACGTCAACCTTTCTTTCCCCAGACTCTCCTTCCCCCCACCTTTGTGCTCTGATGCAGCTGACCCGGGTCATATCACGTCAGTTACTGTGGCTCTGGCCAAGCAGGAGCTTTGCAGCTGGGTAGCCCCAAGTCTGGAATCACTGCAGTAGGGAGAGTTGGTCTAGCGTGTCTCTGCCCCACCCCAAGTATGTTCAGGACAGAGACAAAGCTCTTAGTCTGTTATCAGGGTTCCCAGGGCTGGTTGCTCAAGTGTGCATTCCTCCGGGGCAGGGCCCGAGCCTCCTCCGGCTTGTGAAACCTCCCGGCCAGAACGCGCGTTCCCGGCAGGCAGCTTGCCGCGGTGCTCACCCTCCCTGCCTCATTCCAGGAGCGCTCTGCAGAGACTGTGCCGCAGCAGTCTGATCTTTACCAAGTGACTGAAGTTCAAAGCCCCTGAGTTGTTGTATGACCCTGGCCATTTTGGGAAGATGTCAGATGACGAATTCCCATCTCTTCCCTCCCTCTATTCTTCTCTCCCTCCCTTCTCAATTCCTTCCCCCTCCATCCCTTCCTCCCACAAATATGTACTGTTTGCTTATTCTGAGGGGCGAGGGGAGGGTAGTGTCCTAGGTGCTGGGGATAGAGAACAAAAGGCACAAGCGCTGTCCTCAAGCAAAAGAGACGAGAGACAGCTGTGGTCAGTGTAGCGAGGGAGGGATACATAGCAGGGGGCCGTGAGGGCACAGGGTGGGGGTGGGGTGGGGCTGGTGGTGTCTAGATAGTCCGGGAAGACACCTGGGAGGAGCTGATGCTTGAGTCGAGGCTTGACAGGGTCAGAGAGGTGTTCTGGGCTGACCAGACTGTGGGGCAGGCCCAGGGCCAAGAGAGCATGGCTCATTAGAGAAATGCAGGTGGCTGAGGAGGGCTGGAGTGGGGGATGTAAAGGTTGGACAGGTTGGCGGGGCAGCAGATCATGAAGGATTTTATAGGTTATATAAGGGAGTTGATGCTTTATCCTGAGCATAATGGGGACCAAGGAAAGTCTTTAACCAGGGGAGTGACTTGGTCAGAATTGCAATTTCGAGACTCATTTACTTCATACCCTGTGATGCTCCAGGATCCATAAATTTGCCCAGTGCCATCGAGTACTTTTCCTCCCTGAGTCTGAGGGGCTCACAGTGCAATTAGCGTGCAAAGTCGAGGTGGCAGCTGGGTGGGAAGAGGGGAGTGGGGAGCTAGGTAGCGGAACAGAAAGCGTCGGGGTGAGATAACGGGGTTGTGCTGGGTCTGCCTCTGGTAGGTGACGGGCTCGGTGCCCCGCTGCTGAGGAGCAGAGCTTCGGGGAGTTGAGGCATAACTGGGTTCTTTCTGTTTCATTCCCTCTGAATTTTCATCATCCCCCTTTCAGAGGTAAAGAAACCAAAGCCTAGAGAGATCAATGACTATCCTGGAGTCATTAAGAATCAGAACAGGAATTTCAGCTCCTCAGCGTGTGCCTGTCACTACCCTCCAGCCCACCTGGGGGCAGTGTGTGGAGAAATCTACAGTGAGGGGAAGGAAACACCAGGTACAAAAGTCATTCCATTCCTTCTAGTTCTAATGCTTTTCATTAAAAAAAAAAAAAATGGTTGTCCTGCCCTGGCCTGTGTGGCTCAGTTGTTTGGACATCGTCCCGTGCACTGAATGGTTGCTGGTTCGATTCCTGGTCAGGGCACATGCCTGGGTTGCAGGCTTGATCTAAGGTGGGGGCTGTGCAGGAGGCAGCTGATCAATGTTTTGCTCTCACATTGATGTTTCTCTCTTCCTCTCCCTTTATCTCAATAAAAAATCTTTTTAAAAAATGTGGTTGTCCTGACCAATACATTAATTTCATGGCCAATAGTCGGTTCCAACATACAGAGTGGTCGAACGTGGGCACTAAAATGAGGGCTGGGGCGTGGGTATTCTCTCTTAATTTGTTCCATTTTCAGTCAAACGTGCCTTTACCAGAATAGTCACAAAAGTTTATGGTGCAAAATGGAATAATTAATTCATTACATGATTGATTAGTTCAAGTCATCTGTGGAGCATCCACAGTGGATGAACCCTGGGGTACGTTGGAGTGAATAAAAATTTAATGCCTCTCTTGAGACACATAATCAAAGGTGGAAAGAAACCCATAAAGAGTGATTTGCGATACAACACAGGAAGTGCTAAGTAAGGGGATGTGTGCGTAACGAGAGCACAGAGCCAGACACCAGACCCAGCTCAGGAGAGTCTCCAGAAACAGGAGGTCTCGGAATTGTCAAGGAGGCGCAGGTGTCAGGCGGGAGGAGGCAGAGGTGGAGGGGGCAGAGGGTCCTGGGAAGGCAGTGGTGCAGTGTCATGTTCCGTCCTGTGCGCGTGTCGGACGGGAGGTGAGTTGCGGTGGGAGAGATGTAGAATGGAGAGGGAGGCAAAGACTCAACCGTGGACTTTTCCTCCAGGTGGTATGGAGCTACAGAGAGTTAGAAAAAGCTCTTATTTTCTCTTGGAAAACTATCAAATAATCCCTGCACCCTCCCCAGTCTTTAATGTTACCGTGATTTAGGTGAATGGTGATTTGGCATTGTGCTCATTTGCTCTAACCTGACTACTGGTGAAGTGAAACACTTTTCGTGTATTTATTAGCAATAGGTACTTATTCATGTCCTTTGCCCATTTCCCCCCCGAGACTGTCATGTGTCTCTTACCAACTTACATGAGCTCTTTATATATTAAGGGTAACAAACTTTTGTCATATCTATTGCATAGGCAGTCCTTAGCCTTGTCATTTGCCTTTTAGTTTCGTTTCGAGTGTTTCTGACACCCAGAAGCTTTAATTTTGGTGTGGTCAAATGTATTGCTTTCCTTTCCCTTAGTGCTTTTGTCCATTGCTTTTATGCTTAGAAAGTTCTCTCTCATCCAGAGACTGAATACATGTCATTGACATGTTGGAAGCAGTGGAGTGTCATGGGTCAGACATTGTGGCAGAAACACACACACAAAACCTTTCCAAGCAGTCAGAGCAGAACAAACCAAATCTTCCTTTATGCACCCCACACCCAGCCCAAAGAGAGGGCTGGGGAGATTTAGGGATCAACGAGATGGGTGAGGGAGACAAGGAGAGGCAGGCGGAGGCGGTCGGGTAGGCAGAGTGGGTGGGAGTGTGCGGAGAGGGAGCTGCCTGTCCCAAGGTGAGATAGGAAGGAACGGAGTCTGTTTGGTTAGACTCAGACGAGAAGAAACAGGGATGCGTGAGGGGATCGGAAGGAACTGGGGACAGCCACGGCGGG